CTGCCTCTGTATCTATTTTTGTTCATCAGTTTATAATAGTCTTTTTTATCCATAAATGAGTGAGATCATGTGGTATTTTTCTCGGCTTCCCAGGGGCTGGCGCAGCCTCGCAGGGGCCATCTCAGCCTCACAGTGGCCATGTCAGCCTCACAGGGGCCATCTCAGGCTTGCAGGGGCTGTCTCAGCCTCACAGTGGCCATGTCAGCCTCACAGGGGCCATGTCAGCCTCACAGGGGCTGTCTCAACCTCTCAGGGGCTGTCTCAGCCTCACAAGGGCCTTCTCAACCTCACAGGGGCCTTTTCAAGCTCACAAGGGCCGTCTCAGTCTCACAGGGGCTGTCTCAGCCTCACAGGAGCCATCCCAACCTAACCGGGGTCGTCTCAACCTCCCAGTGGCTGTTTCAACCTCACAGGGGCAATTTCAACCTCAGAGGGGTTGTTTTAGCCTCACAGGGTCCGTTTCAACCTCACAGGGGCCATCTCAGCCTCACCAGGGCCATCTCAGCCTCACAGGGGCCATCTCAATCTCACAGGGGCCATCTCAGTCTCACAGGGGCCATCTTAGCCTCACAGGGGCCGTCTCAGACTCACAGGGGCCGTCTCAGACTCACAGGGGTCGTTTCAGCCTCACAGGGGCTGTTTCAGCCTCGCTGGGGGCGCCACATCCCACGTTGGGGGTGAAGGTGCGAGTCAGAAGCTCCTCTCGCTGTTTCTCCTGCTGCTCCCTTGCGTATCGTCGATTCTGGAAATTTCTGAGAGCAGTCTGCAGGTGCTGGACATCATACTTTAACTGGTCAACACGAAGTTTGGCATTCCGTCTTTTGTTGGGCGGCTCCTTGCTCGACAAAATCTCCAGGCATTCTTGGTGGCTGAATATCTGGTATGCTTGCTTGGATTTCGTTTTCTACTAAGTGCACAGACTGCTTGTCTGCCGTCTCCAAGCGTCCCATGTGAGACTGGATCTGGTAGACCTGCTTGTGTGTTTGCTGGTACAGCGGTTCCATGTCGCCGGCCCAGCCGGGTTCGGCTCTGGCTTCCTCCGAACCTGATTCTGCTTCTTGAGTGTGTCCCTTATGTATGCGAGGGGTTGAAATCTACAGTTTGTTGAGTTAGGCTACAAAAGTGAAGGTGGTTCCTTTTGTGCCACTGGCACAGCTTGGGCGGGGATGTAAATTGAGTAGGGCGGGATCTCTGGGAATCACCCGGGCAGAGCAAAGAGCAATGGCGTCTCCGTGACTCCTCGCCTCTCGGTGACTCCGCATCTCTGCATCCCTGAGTGCCGGTGAGCAGCTCTGCGAGAAAGCCACCCTCGCTCTCCGACCAGCTGCAAGGCCGTCCTGCCTCTCCCCATAGGGGTCTGGGACCTCAAATCCCACCCCAAAAAAGCTCAGTGGATTCGAGAGTTTTTAACCCCTTCCGATTGAAAAAAAACGCGCATCCAGTTGCAGCCCGCCTGGCGCGCGACGCTGTACCTCTGTTCTTGGCGCCTCTGTACATCCTACTCAGTCTCAATGCTCTTCTTTCTTTCCTTCCAGTTGTAGAGCTTCCACTGGGCCAGCTTTCCCATGGTTCTGAATGATAGCTGTTTGTCTTATAGTTGGTAGTTTCAATGTTGTTGTGGGAGGCAGTATACACAGGTCTGTACCTTACACTGCCATCTTGGTTCCTCACTAGATTTCTTGAGGGTCTCACTAAATTTATTGGCGGTTTCTAGAAAATTCTTGAAAAACCTTAGAAGTGTGGTTTTGAACTCTATATCCAGTAGTTTGCTTTTCTCCATTTCTGTCATTTGTG